GCTAGTAATTCCTACTTAATACCTTAATAGCCCGTGGTACAACCCATCCATATTCCTGGTGTTTCATTGGCTTATTGGCGTGCAGGCACCAGGTTGCAGCGGCCCCACCATGACATCGGTGGGCTGTAACTGGTGCTCCCTCATCTGATCCATTCTTAAAGTTCACATACTTCGCCCAGGCACACTACAACTGGTAAGCTCCAAACCAACAACCCATCGCGACCGTTTCGCACCCGTTTCCATTTGCTTTTGTTCGCGGTTTTCCATTTCATCGAGGTACATCATGGAGCTACCCTTCCCCACCGAAGTGCCAGAATTCGATAGCGACGATCGAATTTCCTTTTCCAAACTCGACAACAAGTTCATTGCCGTCCACGATGACGGGTCCGAATTCGAATTCGATACAAATCTAAGGCAATGGGTGCCAGCAGAGTATGACGAGCAGGTGGAAGACGACGATAGCTCGACTTCCAGAAAAAGGAAAACCCCTTCTCAAAACGGTACAGAGGTAAGCGACGTATCACCAGCGAATTCGCCTACTCCCTGGAACAATTCTTCTCCCCTTCTCAGCTGCTCTTCTCCTCAATTCGAGGATATGAGGGTGCTAATATTTCCCGGATCGCAGTCTGAGGCGCCCAAGACTGCTCGCCCCAACAAGAAACAAAAGGCACCACCCCAGCCCAGACAGAACACAGCCGTCTATGTAACAGGCCTCCCGCTGGATGTCACCATCGACGAAGTTCATGAAGTGTTTTCGCGCAAGGCCGGCGTCATCGCCGAAGAGATCGACAGCGGTGCACCACGTATCAAGCTCTACAACGACTCAGAAGGCAACTTCAAGGGAGATGCTCTGGTCGTTTTCTTCAAGCCGCAGAGCGTGGAGATGGCCATTATGCTGCTCGACGACACAGACTTCCGGATCACATCCAATGGTACCCGGGATGGCAGGATCAGAGTCCAGGTGGCCGACTCAAGCTACAAGAAAGTCCAGCACGACCAAGCCGCAGGTGAGAAGGGCAGCGAAAATGGCCAAGGTGATAAGCAACGGCAGCAAAAGGATAGAGACAGGCAAAAAATCATCAAGAGGACCCAGAAGCTAGACGCCAAGCTTGCTGACTGGGACGACGATGACCCGTATCCAACCCGTACAGAAGCCCCCAACAAGCGGGACAAGACCGTCATCCTGCGGCACATGTTTACCCTGCAGGAGCTGGAGGAAGACCCCGCCGCACTGCTGGAGATCAAAGAAGACATTCGAGAAGAATGTGCCAAGCTGGGGACAGTGACCAACGTTGTTCTTTATGACGAGGAGGCCGATGGCATCGTCATCGTCAAGTTCAAAGACCCAGAGTCCGCGCAAGGCTGCATCCGTCTCATGCATGGGAGAAGCTTCGATGGCCGGGTAGTAGAGGCATCATTAGCGACGGGGCGAGAAAAGTTCAGGCAGTCGAAAAATACGCAAGGTGAAGATGAGGAGGAAGATGATTAATGTCTACTCGTAAGTTGCTGCACCCACACACGCATACGTTTCCACAAAACAAGTCGTCGCCAGGCAGGCATATTGATACCCTAAGAGAAAGAAGAAAGAAAAAGAACTTTGTGAAATAGTTTGATTGAGATTAGAAAGAGTATTTTCTATACACAAAAATGACAGGCACAAAACTCCCAGCTACATTCCTTACGCCTGTTTGTGATCAGTGATGCATAAAGGAGGTGGACTTAGACGGCCGGTGAGAGCTTAAGTCGACATGACCTCAATTGCCTACCTGGTTCAAGTAGACGTCAATTTCGGTTTCTTCGGCGGTTGAGTACCAAATGGCTGCCTCCACGATCTTACAAACAGTGCGAAGCTCGTCATCATCTGCAAAACCGATCAATACTTCAAGATCAAAGGTGGGCTATCGAGTATTTACTAAAATCAACCTACCCCGTGGCGCATATATCATGACAAAGTCAGTAGCGACTGGCATGGTGAGGAACCACCACTTCCAAGCCAAGGGGTGCCTCTGGCCCCATCCTCTTGAGAGGACCTCCTTGCTATCGTCAGGGTGCAGGCACATGTGCATGGAGTGATCCGAGTCATGGACGTGGCAGATCTCTCCCTGGCAGGCCGTCTGCACGGGGTGCCTTGCGAACAGGGCGAGCCCATGCTTCTCGATGCACGATCGCTCGGTCCCAAACTTGCCAGGCTTCTTGAGGCTGAGCTTTTCCAGCGTCCTCCTGAGGGCCTGGTAGCAGTAGCGGGAGCCGGGCTGGTCAATCTGCCTCTGGGGGGCGATGCCCACGACCCGGGGCTTCGGTCCCAGTCTAAAGGGGAGGGCCTGCTTGGATAGGATGCCCTTCAATGGGAGGCAGTTGGGGGTGGGCTTTGGAGGGGTAAAGGGGTCACGCAGCGTCCACAGCCGCAGCCAGGAGATTCGGAGGTAGCCCCAGAGGGTAGACGGCGTCCCCCCGGGCCCGAGGCTGATGAAGTTCTCGTAGTCATTGTGCACTACGAGGAGGAACGGCACCAGCACCAGGATGGCCTCGACAACCAGGGCATCTGAGAAGTGCACCAGGCTAATGAGAGAAATGGACAAGATGAATATTCGCAGGCTATCTAGAGTGATGCACACGGGGCGCTGCTTGGGCATCGGGGTGAGGTTGACCGGTGAGGGCAGTGCGAGGGCGGATATCGGCAGACTACCATTGCCGTCGTCCCTCATCTCAGTGGTTGTAGTAGTGGTGGTCGAGGCAGACATGGCAGCGAGTCTTGACCCAGAGATGATGATTTTGGTCCAAGATGGCAGGCCCCAAACCAGTCAATCTTGGGCGAAAGCCTCCCTTTTAAGATCGTGCAACCCCCTCCCCCCTCTTTCGATGTCGGCGGCGGCATGAAGCGACTGATCACAGCGAGGTGTCATTCCAAACTTACTCCTGCTCCAGACCACGAAGCACAGCAGCTACGCAATGCTGACAACACCTTATCAAGTATAGCCCGTTGAGGAATGCAGCCGGCTCAGCGAATCAGGGACTGGGGGGTAATACGGGAGAGAGACCGGGCAAGGTTTCCGTGCCACATACGTGGTACGTCATGAGGAGCTCGAGGTGCAACCAGCTGAGCATATCTCGGTCGGTGAACGGAGTAAACAGCCACCGGGGGGTTTTAGCTCGTATTAGTCTAGTTTCTGTGCTCAGCCAACCAAAGATCTTTTCCTGCTGCGTCCCTCCTATCACGGCTCTGCGTTGGGACTCAGTCGGGCATGAAATCTGCAATACCGGACAGGGACGAGTCGTATAGCGGTCAGTCTAGGACTATTCTCCCTGCACCGCTAGCACGGCCATCGAGGCGAGTCCCATGTCCCGGTGAGACCTGACAACAGGACTGGGCCGGGCACCGGGTGCAGCCAGGCACTGCAGGTTGAGGGAACAGCATATTGTGCGAAGAATATCCTAAATCGGATATGAAGCTGAGAGAGGTGCGTCGGGTGTGTCGTCGGAATGGCTTGCCCACGTGATGGGCATATAATGATATCTCCCCCTCCCGTTGTCTCCTGCAGCCCTTCGTTCTCGCCTCTTCTGATGTCATTTTGACTCTCCTCGGGTTCATTTACCTTGTTTGCTTCGCATAATTGCATCTCCAAGTGAGAACCCGGCCCAAGCGAGTGTTATTGGAGTGAAGCATGCGGCAGGTTGGCACGCGACCAAAATATGACAGCATTTGAGATTCACACTCTCATTTTTCAATGTCCATTTTATAAGCAAGTAGGATATATTTGATATTTCTAATGATTAGTGATTATTCTTCGTGTCCTGACAACAGATAACGGCCGTCGTCAATGCGATTTGATGAAAGGGTCGTTGGATGTTCGGGACTTGTGAAGGATAGTCTAGTGTGGGTCACATCAGTGGTAGATGCAACCCAGTATCTGCTAATCATAGCCTTGGCATCTAACTTTCTGCTTGCATGCTCACAAGGGATTGACCCGACCTTGTTGTAATCACATAATTTTGCTTCACCGTAGATCTTCGTATCGCTCGAAGAGCCGTTCCCCGTCTGCAGCGGAGGTTCTAGCCCCGTCTAGTTCGCGTTTAATTGGAGTTTCGGTGGGTATCACCCCAGACACCTTGAGACCTGGAGCCTCCCGGCCAGGATGTCTCGGCAGTCTGAACTTCTACCGTTGAGATGGGTATTATTTTTCTGACATTTCCATGATAGGGCGGGGAGATTGACGTTTTCTGTTCCTTTATGTGAAAGCACAGGCTTTTGGTCACTCGATGATCGAAATAATTCTACGCTGTGAGATGGTAGTCGAGAGAAAGGCTAAAGCTCGTAACCATGAAAAAATTGTCAAGGTTTGCAGGCATTGTGAATTTATCGCCTCTAGATACTGATGATATCTACTTATGATACCAATAAGCCTTATTCTATCCATTTGCACACAGTAAACAGTATGAACAATTGGGTACATAGTAGAAAGCAGGACGTAGCGGTTGTCAGGGGAGCATGGTATAGGGTAGGTAGACACGCTGGTACCTGGCCAGGCACAATGATGGGCAATTTCAGCTAAAATAACCTTGATTCAACAATAGGAAGGTGGTTGCTCCGCAACGTCGCAGGTCAAAATACTCCTACTAATATATCCACAATTTATTAGTTGTTCTTTCCAGGGGTTCCACCCCTGTGTCAGAGTTGAGAGCCTTCAATTAATTGCAATCATCCCACCGCTCGCTTCAGCAAGCATTGATTTCTCCAGACGATATCGCGATTATCCGAAGGCCGCAGCTTTGTTCTCGCCCTTCATTCTTGGCGCCGGCCGTCAGCCTCCCCTCTACGAGACATCTGACTTGGTTGTGTCAACAACCTCCCATTCCCGACACGCGTACTCCACAAGACATCACGACGGCCCACGACCAAATTCTTGGTATGCAGCATTCCTTTCAGATCGCACCCTTCCCGAAATAAGCGATCGACTGACAAATTTGGGTCACCAGGGTTTTAAACCCGCCCGCCGGCCATTATGGGCGTCTTTCGCAAACGTGAAGATCGCTTGCCGGTCTACGAGAGGTCGTCCTCCCCAGCCAAAGAACGCTACTCCAACGATGGCTACTCCTCAGACGAAGACTACCGACCGCACAGACGAGATGTGTCGTCTAGCTCGTCAACGAGCGCTTCAGGCTCCAATGCGAGCGCTACGCCTATGCTCTCAAGGCGGCGGCAGCCCAGACTACCGCGCGTCGCCAACATGTACCCATATCGATTACCGACCAAGGTGACGCGGTACTTGTGTATCGCATTATTCGGTACCCTCATGCTCATAATCCTCAGCTTGATGAGGGCCAGCCAGGTCGAGAACTGGAAAGTAGAAAACGGCCAAACAGAGAACCGACCGCCGCCTCCACCTGTGTGGGAGCGGTTCCCATTCATAGAGCGATACTACGGTGGTGTTCGTCGCTTGAAGTCTCTGGAAAACAGTAAACCAGAGTACCCCGAGTCCGACCACCAGCCCAACTCTCAATCGCAAGACTCGCAGGAATATTCGCAGCCCGAGAGCCAACCTTGGAGCAAGTACAAAGGCAGGGTCGACGAGCCTGATATTGAAGAGTGTTTCCTCGATGCTGCCGGTACAATTCGCGTTCCCCAAGTTCACTTCTACAACGGCCGCCCCGAGGGATTCCCTCGCCATGTCTCTGGGTCATATGATGTTCTAGACTTGCCCGAAGATATCTGCTTTGAGCGCTATGGAAGATTTGGTCCCTATGGCTTTGGATATTCCGTCAATACTGGTGGTCTGGGCACTGGTGAGAATGGAGATAAGGAAGGCGCTGCTGCCATCTGGCAATCGTCTCCCCGTGTGGACTACAAGTCCATTGACTGGGCTGATGTCCAACGGCGATGCTATAGGTCCAATGCAAAGCGTTTCAAGGACATGCCTGCAAAGGTGTCCACGCGCCGCGGATTTTATATCGATGACGCTGCGGGGAAGAAGACCAATGCTCATAAACGAGACGCTCCCGACGATGGACCTGAGAAACCCAAACCAAGCGGCCAGGACAAGGAGCAAAAGACTGAATCCGACGATCAAGCAATTCGTATTCCGCCCGAGAAGAAGTCAAGGACTGCTGTTGTCATCCGGGGGTATGACGAGTACTTCTACAGAGAAGATGATATCGCAGCCATCCGAGCTATGATTTCTGAACTTTCTTTGGCATCTGGTGGCCGATATGATATTCATCTCCTGGTCCAGATCAAGGATGACGCAAGACACCCTATCTGGGCTGACGAGGAAGCTTACCAGGCGAGAATCAGAGACACAATTCCTGAAGAATTCCGTGGACTGGTCACTCTTTGGACCGAGACGCAAATGTTGTCACTGTACCAAGGCATCTATGATCTCTACACCCGAGGTCCAGACCTGCCTGTTCATGGTGTGTACCGAGGACTGTCCATGGCTATGCAACACTTTGCCTACCTGCACCCCGAATACGACTACTTCTGGCAATGGGAATTGGATGTGCGATACATTGGCCATTACTATGATCTGTTTTCTAAGATTGAGCGATGGGCCAAGGCACAACCCCGAAAGGGTCTTTGGGAGCGGAACTCGAGATTCTATTTCCCTGAAGTCCATGGTACATGGGATGACTTCAGTCAATTGAGCCGAGTCCAGACCGAAATGGGAGCCGCTGGTGCAGACAATGTGTGGAAAGATGTTCCAGGTGTTGATAACCCCGACAAGGCTTCGAAACCAAGGAAGATGGTCTGGGGTCCTATGCGACCTGCTGATGATAATGATTGGTTCGAGCCCGGAAACGACCCAATCCCACCAGCCGGTGGTCCAGAGAAGGACCGCTTCGAATGGGGCGTTGGAGAGGAGGCTGATTACATCTCACTTAGCCCCATGTTTGACCCCGAGGGCACGACTTGGGGACTGAGAGATGATATTACCGGTTATAATCGAACAGAGATGCCCCCTCGTCGAGCCAACATTATCACCACATCCAGAATGTCGCGTCGGCTGCTTCTCCTGATGCACAAGATGACTGCATATAAGAAGCAATTTGCCTTCCCTGAGATGTGGCCTGCCACAGTTGCTCTTCAGCACGGCCTCAAGGCAGTTTATGCACCTCACCCCATGTTTGTCGATCGGAAGTGGCCATTGGATTACATGTCCCAAGTCTATAATGGTGGACGTGATGGCACTAGCGGTGGATCTCGTGCAAGCATGTTTGGCGACAGAGAGCACAACATGCACGGAATTTCCTGGTTTTATCGATCTGGATTCGCACCAAACCTTTACAGAAGATGGCTAGGCCTCAAAGTCAATAATGATGGTGGAGAAGACTTTGAACTGACAGAAGACAAGACGAAGAGCGGTGGTTCCGTTGGTGAGATGCCTGGAGGTGAAGGACGAATGTGTCTGCCTCCGGTCCTCCTTCATCCCGTGAAGGAGGTTGAGATACCGGTCGAAGCTCCTTTAGAGGCACCACCCCAAACGGAGGCGAAAGATGATGGAGGTCAATATGATATTCTGGATCCCGGGGCGTAGTTTGGATATGACGACGAATTAGACGAGCGGGCGGGCGTATACATGTATATAATTGGCACACATCATGGGATGGCAAGAGGCGTTGGATATTGTCATTTTCGAGCGAGATAATGAAGCATTTGGATGAATTCGCAAACTTCTTTATTAGAGCTAATTGATAACTCTGGACTTGAATTCTTTACACGATATTCTTCTCTTCAACCAATTTTAAGTTAATCCATATTTCTTCTTGCTCTTAAGCCATATTTGTCCTCATTGAGAATTGAGCAGCTTGGTCAATGTCTATGCGTAGCCTGACCTGCCCCTCAACCATCCTACACTTCATAGGAAATAGACTCCAAAACTCAGCATGCCTGGTAACTACTACCCCAGGTATTTCACTTATGCGGATTCTCTCACTTTGACCGATCATAGCATACTTTGGTTTCTTCTGTGCGTCTTAACTTGAGGAGTTGGCGACATATGCTTATCCATTATATTGATACAAATGTATCGGCTGTTTCACGCTTGTTCAGCCAGCTTCAACCAATTCCCAGAGATTTTACCTTTTGCGCCAGTTTGCTGAAACCCAACTCTAGAACTAACAACTACTCTCTTACAACAGCAAACAGGCCGCCTTCGAGAGTCACCTTGTTGCCTGCATTTTTTGGTGTTCCTCGGTTCCCTTGCCTCCCCCCTTTGAAGAAATTCATCATACCACACGCTTGACCTCGAAGAAGCGGCGCAGCCACCAGACCTGGAACAGCGACTCCCCAATGACAATTCCGATGACGAAAAGATTCCACCACTTGACTCGGCCGTTGGTGCTCTCGGCAGTGTTGCGGTGGGTGCGCTCGCGAATGACGATGTACTGCTGCTCGTCCTTGACCTGGTCGAGGAGGTCGCTCAATTGACGGACTGGTGATTGCATGTTAGTAAGAATTGCAACGGACCGTTGTATCATTCTTTGTTACTTACCCTCCTTCTCTAATGGGTCGGCTGGGGCGTCGGCCTCGCTGACGTAGACGATGCCGTGGACGTTGAAGGAGACCTCCTTGGTGTTGGCTCCCCAGTGCTGGTTGCCGAAGCAGTATCCGTACTTGCCATCGTGCTGGGCCGTGAAGGAGTGGTCGCCAGACGTGACGGACTTCTCGTTCACCTCATACTGGTTCGCGGGGTTGATGATCTGTTGATCCCTTCGTTAGCTAACCCATGCACGTGCGAATGTCCAAGGGTTCAGGACACATGTTGGATATTCTCATACCCAGAAGTCGATTTCGAGGTTGCCTGCTGAGCCGAACTCCCGGTCGCCCACCAGGAAGGTGACTGTCATGGTGTCGTCCTTGTGCAGCGTCTCGTGGAAGCACTCGACGCCGTGGGAGCCCAGGGCGATGTTGTGTGCGACAGCTGTCTGGAAGGCGACAGCTCCCAGGAGCAGGGACTTGGCCGCCGACAGGAAATGCATTGTTGTTCTTTTCTCGCAGGCTGCAGTGAAAAAGAAAACCGGGAGGCTGAGTGAGAGAGGCCTAGTCCAGGAGGTTTTGGAGGCTGCCTGATGCTGGGACCTCGAATTGACACCTTGGAGGTTTCTGGGGACAGTTGCGGCTCGGCGTCAGGAGAAACGGGTATCCGATTCCCAGTATGGCGTCGCTCAAGCAAGGGGTTAGATGGTGGTCGAGCTTAAGGTACGTACTGGCGGTCGAAAAGGACACTCTTGCACCTTCTTTGTACCATGTAAGTACTGTGGGCGTGTGAAAGCGGTGTGTGGATACCTCGAGTGTACTTGAATCGGCTCAGCTTTGTTTCTTGCTCGATAACGTGTCCGTGTTGCTGTTGGTACCTCTTATCAAGATTACGAAAAGCACGTCTTGAGTGGCATGTACAATCTCAGTGGCTGCAATAAGGGGGTTCGTAGGGCGAGTGGACCTGCTGAACCATGCCGTGCAAGTACCAATTACCAGCCTGTGGCAAGCTCGCCAGTGGGCCAGCCTGTGATTAGCGGCAGAGCCATGCCCCCCTCCTCTGCGTCGTCCCCCCAAAACAAGAAGCCAGGCCGGACTGACCTCACCATCGCCCTGGCACAGCGCAAGTGCAGTGAGCATCGCCTGCTGAGCTAAACATTTTCCTCTCTCCTTTGCCCGGCCCCAAAATTCAACGCCTGCACCCTTTCTCACCCCTCCGACCTCCCATCCAGCATCCACACCGACTGTCAAAGCCCGCGATAGCCTCCCTCGTCATCCTCCGTGTCACGTTGAGGATTCTCTGACGAACAGTAAGTTCCCCCACGCCTTCATTCTGCCCTGCCTGCTCCTTTTTATCGATGCCTGCGCCGGAAGCCGTGTTATTGGGCGGACAGGAGACTCGACTTCGCCCGCTACGCCCCCCGTGATTTGCAGCAGCCTAGAGTGGTCCCAGCTGGTCTTGACGATGTGTCCTCTGTCGGCGCATGGCAACATAAAGACACACCACGCGGGCCTCGATTCCAATCTCGAGATCAATTGCACTCATCAACTGGCTTTCACCTCGTCTGCTTTTCGCAATCAACACGCTCGATAGGGGAAAAAAAAGCCCTCCTCGCTCGCTCACCAATACTGACCGCGTGGCTCACTTCAGGACAAACTTACGCCGCCCTACCTATTCCATATCGCAATAGGCCTCGGCCGCAAGAGTCGCAAACATGGGTCTCGCCTTTTCAAAGATTTTCGACAAGCTGTGGGGGAAGAAGGAGATGCGAATCCTGATGGTCGGTCTCGACGCTGCCGGTAAAACCACCATCCTCTACAAGCTCAAGCTTGGTGAGATCGTCACCACTATCCCTACCATCGGTATGTCCTCGCCCTTCCTGGCCCGTGTGGCTGCCCATCAATGAATCGCCTCGTTTTTCTCATGCGTCGTCTTTTCAGGCTTCAACGTCGAGACTGTCGAGTACAAGAACATTCAGTTCACCGTCTGGGATGTCGGTGGTCAGGACAAGATCCGTCCTCTGTGGAGGCACTACTTCCAGAACACCCAGGGTATCATTTTCGTTGTCGACAGCAACGATCGTGATCGTATTGTTGAGGCTCGTGAGGAACTCCAGCGCATGCTCAACGAGGATGAGCTGCGGGATGCCATCCTCCTGGTATTTGCCAACAAGCAGGATCTTCCTGTAAGTAACCCAAACCAACGCTCCCCTGGCGCGCCCTTTCGTCCAGCAAATACTAACCCTGCCATCTTTAGAACGCCATGAACGCTGCCGAGATCACAGACAAGCTTGGCCTTCACAGCCTGCGCCAACGTGCCTGGGTAAGTCGCCTCGGCAATCCTGTAGATCTTGCTCTCGTATCCACCGTGCTGACTTTCCTCCCCCCAAACAGTACATCCAGTCCACCTGCGCCACCTCTGGAGATGGTCTGTACGAGGGTCTCGAGTGGCTCGCCACCACCCTCCGCAAGGCTGGCCACCAGTAGAGGGACGAATAGAAATCGCATTCTAGTCAACATCACCATCCTCCTGCTCTCTCTACTACGTGCTCCCCACCTTGCCGTAACGAAGTTTCGGTTGTAATTTACAATGTCGTGGAAATCCCAATCGAAATTAGTTGATAATCCATGTCGCTATTTCCCTCGCGGCCTCTGCGCCCTCCTTTTTCATCTTATAGTGCTACTGTTGTGAGATTCGCCCGGGTCCGTCCTCGCGCGACTCCCCGGCCGGGTTTTAATTTTGAGGGGCACTACGTGCGTTTTGGAAGAAAGACTTAAAGGAGGACATTGGGGCGTCTTGGGAAGCTGGGAATCAAAATTGAAAATTTGTACACAGGGGAGTCGATTATCACCTTATCATCTTTTTTTTTATTTTCCATGACTCGGGTTTTCTAAGTAGATCCTTGAAGCTTCTGTTTTCTTTATCCCATTCTCTATCCTTATCTGAAGCAGGCAGCTGAACGTCCCGAGTCTGAGAGACCACAAGACTACATGTGATTGAAAATAATCTCAGTTGTGAGAGGAACCATTTAACGTAAACTATCGCAACGCCTGGACTCCTAGGTTATCATCCCGCTCTTTTGGCCCTTTTACTACTCTCGTGATCGCGGGAGGGATCACATGATGGCCTGTCGGAGCGTCTTTCGAAGTGAGGTATCATCGATCCCAAGTCTTTCAACATCGAGAGCTCCGATGATTCGAAGCATTTCTCGTCCTAGAATCGAAAAATCAGTATATGGTGGCTTGAATATATTGCTATCGAACTTGCCGTCGAGCTCATTTAGAGCCTTTAAGTCATGGGGGAAGGATGGAATTTCTTTTCCTGTCCTGATATCGACCAGGGGCAAAAGGGGCAACGATGGATCTTTGAGCACCCGCTCTCGATTTAGTTTCTTTGTATCATCATTTTGGGCCCTGGGGTCAATTATTAGCCACGGAGACCAAAAAAAAAAAGGTGAGATGGTGGTGCAAACCGAGCTGATCTCGAAATGGCCAGCCGATTATCTCTCGCGGCCTCGCCTCCTTTAAAAATATCCATCACTTGGTCGAACTGTTCAGACATGTTTTTGGAAGCACGGTCCAGCTGGGCTGAAATTCTATTGATCTCCTCCATGATTTTGCGATATTTCTCTGGAGGTATTGGTATACTCTGCGAATCACCAGGACGTATCGTAGCATCTGAATCCGAGCGGTGCCGAGGCATTGCAATAACCAAGATGAAGATGCCGAGTATAAGATGGTAGGAAAACAAAATATGGAATGTCCCAGGGCAGGTTGTTGAAACCAAGTGATTCTGTTTGCTTTCTTGGCGAAATCCAGGGAAGAAAACTGTCCAAGAAGTTTGGAGGAGGTGATTTTACAGCAACCACACTTTCGTTCATAGTTACCTAGGTGTGGCTCTTCCTACTATGCAAAGATACTTTTCTGGCGCCGGCCAATGTTCATAGGTATTTTTAATCATCTGTAGCAGACCGAGGCGCGCGCGTTGTATGGCCACTCACGGCACGCTTTTCTTTGGTTCAAACGCTACATGCGGCTTTGAGCTCAACCTAACTGTTCATTGGCGCCTAGAGTCTACAATGGAAAGCTTAAATTATCGTATTCATGTTTATTGTCTGGCCATGTCATCCGTGAGTTTAGGCACCAGTCAAGTGTTGGTAGTAATGATAATGCTGGTATTGAATTAATGGTATATCTAACTGGGTATCTGGAGATGAAAACTATAATGGTACAAATAGGAGATATGTGATATAGTACATGGTAATCATTAAATCAGTACAATCATAAACAATCCCGCGCCATAGCTGGAGATGCTTTTTTGTGTTTGTTTTTTTGAGTAGTTTGTTTTCTCAACGTGTCAAGTTTGATCAGAATTCTTCACCTTAAGTGGCTGTGGCAGCCTCGAGGATCTCGAGACCCTGATTGTCTTCTCTGATCTTGACCTCTGCCGTCTCACCCATCCGCAACTGGCCCCTAATGATCCTGTCGGCGAGACCGTTGGCAATCTCGTTGGTGATCAGACGGTTGAGCGGGCGGGCACCAAACTTGGGATCATAGCCGCGATCTGCGAGCCAATCCTTGACCTCGTCGGGCACGAAGAGGGCGATGCGCTTGTCGTCCAGGCGCTGCTGCAGCTCCCTCAGCCGGATATCGACAATGTCGCGGATGGCATCCCGGGCGAGACGCTTGAAGATGATGAACGAGTCGATGCGGTTCAGGAATTCTGGTGGGTAGGAGTTTGAGACGACGTCCATGACGGCGTTTCGAACCGAGGGGTCGATGTCGCCCTGCTCAGTCTCCTTGTACGGGTGGAGGGGGTTGTGGCCGACAAGGATGTCTGCACCCAGGTTTGATGTGAGAACAATGATTGTGTTTCTGAAATCGACCTTGTGGCCCTGGGCATCGGTGAGGTAACCCTCATCGAGAACCTGCAGCAGCAGGGCCGAGATATCTCGGTGAGCTTTCTCGAACTCATCAAAGAGGAGAACAGCGTACGGCTTGCGGCGGACGGCCTCGGTCAGCTGTCCAGCGTCTTCGTAGCCGACGTAGCCCGAGGGTGCGCCGATGAGTCGGGAGATGGTGTGCTTCTCCTGGAACTCTGACATGTCGAAACGTACCACGGCCGATTCCGTGGAGAATAAAAAGTTGGCGAGCTTCTTGCAGAGTTCCGTCTTTCCGACACCTGTTGGTCCTAGGAAGAAGAAGGATGCCAGAGGGCGGTTCTCCCCGCTGAGACCCGCACGTTGGAGTCTGACAGCGTTGGAAACGGCCTTGATGGCTTCATCTTGACCCTTGACCGACTCTCTGAGCGAGTCTTCCATGTGAACGAGCTTCTCAATATGCCCGGAGGTGAGTTTCGACACTGGAATGCCCGTGATACGGGACACGACATTCGCAATGTCATCTGCCGTAACAGAATCGTGGATGAGGACGTCATCGCCCTGGGCTGAAGCAGGCTCGCCCTCCTTGGGAAGTTTCTGCTCCAGGCTTGGGATAGTTCCGAACCTCAGCTCAGATGCCTTGGCGAAATGTCCTTCTCGCTGGGCCTGCTCGAGCTCGAACCTGGCCTTGTCCAGATCTTCCTGGACCTTCTTGACAGACTCGATCTCAGCCCTCTCCCTGTCCCAGCGGGCGTTGAGCTCTGAAATCTCCTCATGGTACTTCTTGAGGTCGGCCTCGAGCTTCTCCTTTCGCTCCTTGCTGGCGACGTCCTTCTCCTTCCTCAAACTCTCAAGTTCAATCTGGATAGTCATGATCTTGTGGTCAAGGCGCATGATGTCTTCTGGCTTGGACTCATGCTGCAACTTCAGGTGACTAGCCGCCTCATCCATAAGGTCGATGGCCTTATCAGGAAGAAACCGGTCAGTAATGTAGCGGTTCGAGAGCGTAGAAGCAGCCACGAGAGCGCCGTCGGTAATACGAACACCATGATGCACCTCGTACTTGTCCTTGATACCGCGCAGGATGCTGATGGTGTCCTCCACAGAGGGCTCGTTGACAAGGATGGGCTGGAACCGCCGGGCCAGCGCGACATCCTTCTCAATGAGCCGATACTCGGCGAGGGTCGTGGCACCGCAGCACTGGAGCTCGCCGCGGGCCAGCGCCGGCTTGAGCAGGTTGGAGGCGTCGATCGACCCCTCCGCCTTGCCCAGCCCGAGCAGGATGTGCAGCTCGTCGATGAACAGGATGACCTCGCCCTCGGCCTTTTGCACCTCGTCCAGCACCTTCTTCAGCCTCTCCTCGAAGTCGCCGCGGAACTTGGCTCCCGCGATGAGGGAGCCCAGGTCCAGGCTGATCACCCTCTTGTTCTTGATGCTCTCTGGGACGTCTCCACGCACGATCCGCAGAGCGAGGCCCTCGAGGATGGCCGTCTTTCCCGTGCCAGCATTACCGATCAGGACGGGGTTGTTCTTCGTCCTCCGGGACAGGATCTGTATTGTTCGCTGGATCTCCGAGTCTCGCCCAATGACGGGGTCGAGCTTCCCATCCTTGGCCCGGGCTGTGAGGTCAATGCCGAACTGTTCCAGAGCAGGCTTCTCCTCCTCTCCTCCTCCCATGTTCATGCGGTGCGTGCCGCCCGGCGGATGAGGGCCTCGGCCATTGGCATAGGTTCGGATGGCGATGCTTGGGAGCGGTCTCAGGTGTAGAATGGCCGGACCCAGAGATTGGCAGGTCGCTGCGCGGGTAATTGGTCGCAGGGTTTTGGTCGAGGCACCAGCTCCAATACGCCGGGCCGTGGTTATCAGATGTCGTCTTGCTTGCATGGTGTGTGTGAACGAATGGAAATGGAAAGTAGGGTTGATTATTTACAAAATAGCGTATCTCGAGGGGATGAATAAAACAAAAGAAAATTGAACAAATATTGAACAAATACAGGTTCAAGTCATCGCAGGCCCCAGCTGGTCGATTGAACCCGTAGATATATCCAAGGCTCATTCGCCGTTGCGGGTCTAGAAGCAACGAGGCCCTCCCGTCAAACCACCAGAAGCGTCATGGGCCGCCGCCCTCGGCGCAACTTCTCGCATCTTCCGGCACTCTCGGTCCAAAGGTCCTATCTTATCGCTGATAACGGATAAGAAGCCCAAAACAAAATTCATCACGTGCGTATAGCCCCATGTTGTGGTGGGCGGTCGAAAATCGGAGTACGTACCTATTCTAGAAGCGGCTTAGCGCCAGAGGGTTCACATTTTGATCCCACACAACTCGCTAGCGGCGTTCACAAACAATTCCCAACATTTCGGGCGACTGCTTATCACCAAACGCTTCCTTTCTTCACATCCCTCCCCCCCCAATTCGACCACTAACCCCCCGAGAGACAGTCACAATGTCGGCGAAGCCTCAGAACAAGACGTTTGGCAAGTCGACCCGGGCGGTCCCCGCCTCGACGGAGAAGGCCAAGAAGTGGTATCCTGCCGAAGCTGATGCCGAGAAGAAGCTGGTGAGTCGGAAGCCGAACATGTGTTTTCCCTATATGCCATCTTGATGCCACCGTTACTGCGAGAGGAAAAGCATGAAGGGAAGGGAGCAATGGGTTGCGCATTGAATTGGGAATCGATGACGGGACAAGTGGTCGGCGGTTTTTACAAGGCAAAATTCTTTGATATCAGAAAAAGCCACCAGCACCAACATGCATCGACGACGACTTCAATGCAACAAAGACAACTTGAGGAAGAATGGAATACCGGCATCAAGATGGCACAACTTCACCGCACACCCACAAGAAGAAAAATATTAACAGTTGTGGTCACAATAGGTTCGCAAGGCCGTCCGTGCCTGGGCCCCTCGCAAGTCCCTCCAGCCCGGTACCGTCCTCATCCTGCTCGCCGGCCGCTTCCGCGGCAAGCGCGTCGTCCTCCTGAAGGCTCTCGACCAGGGTGTTCTCCTCGTCACCGGCCCCTTCAAGATCAACGGCGTCCCCCTCCGAAGAGTCAACTCCCGATACGTCATCGCCACCTCCTACAAGGTCGACGTCAGCGGCCTTGATTCCAAGAAGGTCGACGAGGTCGCCCAGCCCAAGTACTTCACCGCCGAGAAGGCCGAGCAGAAGGCCGGTGAGGAGGCTTTCTTCAAGCAGGGAGAGGAGCCCAAGGTACGCTAGAATTGAAGTGTTTGCGCATACAAAAGAAGACCAGCTAACGTGGAATTTTTTCCCCCGATGCAGAAGAAGGAAGTCACCAGCAGCCGCGCTGCCGACCAGAAGGCTATCGACAAGCCCCTCATCGCCAGCATCAAGAAGATCGAGCTTCTCCCCAGCTACCTCGCCAGCTCTTTCAGCCTGCGACAGGGTGACAAGCCCCACGAGATGTCGTGGTAGGCAATTTCTGCTTCGCTGTAGGCGTGGGGGAAAGGAAAATGGGGGCGGCAACGACGGTGTTGTAGAATGGGCAGGGTCTCCGAAATGGGCTAGTTAGGCCAATTGCATTTGGAAGTCGACGGCATCGGTCACATTTGGCGTCTGTAATCAGGTTTTACAGTCAAAAAACAAAACGATCATGAACACATTTCTTGGGCTTCCCGCTGGAAGCTGTGGTGTCGGCGTCCAAGTCTTTTTCTGGTATACTGCTTCAGTCCTATGGTGTGATGATAGCCACTTGTCATTGGATCCCTGAGCAC